AGCAGGGAGCCCGATGCGGGACTCGATCCAGGGACTCCAGGATCATGACCTGAGCCGAAGGCAGCCGCTTAACCAACTGAGCCACCCAGGCGCCTGACTTGCTTTATTTCTAATAATGCCTTTTGCTTTGAAGTCTATTTTGTGTGATATTAATATAGCTATATCTTTTCATTAGCAATTGTGGGGAAAATGTTTGTCATTACTTTCTACCTTTCTTTATTCTTATGTTTTAAATGTAGCTCTTTAAACAACACATAGTTGGATTTTGTTTGTTTTCCATCTCACAATCTTTGTTTTTTCACTGGAAAATTCCTTCCACTTATATTCAATGTAATTGCTGGTATAATTGTATTCAAATCTACCATCTTCTTATGCACGACTCTTCTTCTGTCCTGTGTTCTGTTTTCTTTCCTTCCTTGCCTCCTTTTGGATTGATAATTTTTATCATTGAATTTCATAGGTTTTCTCCTAGACAGAATAGTCATTTGCTTTTTCCAGGATCACTTTAGTTCAAGTTCAAGATTTGAGATTTTTTTCAAGCAAGCCTCTTCCAGTTCACCCTTACTCCTGGGGGGAGTGTGTGCATGTGGAATGTGGAATGGTTTACCAGGTCTCCACCCTTGTCAGGTCCTGATCTGACTTTTGTCCCCCTAATCCCACAAGGTTGCTAAAAAGACAGCTAACCCTCTCAACTGTCTCTTCAGCTGTAAGGTAAACATGTCCAAAAATGACCAGGCTCACTCCTCTGGATTTCCATTCTCTTCTGGGTCTTACCCTTGAAATTTCTCAATATTTTGTTAGCGTTTTGATGCTTCTAAATTTTTAGTAAATTACGTTCAGCAGGAGGGGTGATCTGAATTAGCTAGTGTGCCGTTACTGACTTCCTTAGAGTTCCTAGAACAATGTTTCTCAAGATGGGGTCCATGGACCATGTGCATCAAAATCACATTATACGTGTTAAAAATTGGGATTCCAGGGCTGCCATCTCAGACTTCATTCGGTCCTGAAACACAGAAGTCTGCCCTTTTGATAAGTTCTGAGGCTCTATTTATTAAGACTTTAAGTTTGAGAAATTTTGCCCCAGAGCTTAGCACAATACTCTTAGTAATAGACATTCAAGGAATTTGACTTGATTTTTGTTTAAAGGTCATGTAGGTCAGAAGAAAGCTGAATAAATGCCCCAGTCAGAATCTGGTCAATGTTTAAATCTCCTATCTCCTCACCATTTGAAAAAATCCTCCTTAAGACAAGATGATCTCTAAGAAGAACTCTCAAGAACCAAGACCTTATCTAGAGCCAAAGTCTAATCCTGTCACATTCCCCCTTCTCAGGAGTAGCATTCATTTTGATCAGCCATGGATGGCAGGTACTTCAATGTGCTTGTTAGTCACTAATGAAAGGTTTTAGAAAGAAGCTAAGTTACCCTAAAGATATCTTGACCCCATATCTACTGGTGAATCCAATTATGAACTGCCCTTAAAACAAAACAAAACACCCAAACCCAACCCCAAAATGGGTTTTTTGAGACCAGTTCATAACTGGATGTCAATTACAAATATTAAGATTTCCCCCCCAATATTATTATTTGCCAAAATAAGTTAACACCGTGTTGGTCTGCAACATTATTTTGAAATTTTACTGGTCCAAGAAATCTGTAGATCTTGAAATCACTGTCTTATAGCTCCTCAAGCCACTCCAGATTCCAAGAAAGCTCTTGGCCTGCCTGCTAAAGTTTCTGCAAATAGCAGGCAAATCTGCATTCCACACTGTCAGGAACATGATTAATTATCTGTTTGGATTAGCCAACAAAATCTATGTTCCTGTGTTTCTGTGACATGCTTACTTAAATTTCTTAGCTTTGGTCATGCCTTTAAGTTACAGTGCTTTCCAAAATGTTTGTCTTTGCTTTCTTGCAGGACAAAAAGAAAAACAAAACAAAACAAAACAAACAAAACCCACTGCCAAACAGTTGGTGACCAACATTTAAAGATTTCTCATTGCTACACCAACGTGCCGTCTTAGATATCTCCAACTTTTAAAGGGAAAGCTTTGTGCGAGTTCTTGTGTTTTCCACAGCTGAATAACCTTAATATGGAAACGTGCTCATGTTACACACACCGCAGACATCAAGAGAAAGTTTTAGAAGATTTGAGCTTTTTAATCAGATGATCTTGGGCTCTACTCAGAAAATGAAATTCCATGGGGAAACTGCTACTCAGAGTAGGCTTTGTTCTTTTATAATATTCATTTCCTTTCATTGCTCTCTAACCAAGAGAATACTTCAATAACCATCTGAATAGGGAGGATGGTATTACAAATGAGCTGTTATGAAATTTTTAAAAATCAGATCTGTTTTGGAAACTACTATCAGTTGGAGAGTGGTTTATATGTGAACTATGCGAAATTCCTTAAAGTTAAGCCAACTCTGAATATGCCTGATTGATGAAATAATGTTTGTCACTTCAGTAAACGAATAGGCTAGCATACATTACAGGGGCTGTAGTAACCTATGTAACCTATGATTGAAAAATAATCACATGCCCTTATGGTTTCATTTACCAGATTAATCTGCTTTGGTAATGGAATCATTTATGCTTAATTAAATATATCTAGATTATGATTCTCAGGAAAGGGTAATTTGTGAGTAAAAAGATATCTCTAAAATCTGCAGGTTTGGAGCAACATCAAAATTTTAGGTTTTTAAAGATACCTATTCACTTGTATCTCTAAGGTAGAAAACTGGCCTTGCTTTAAACCACATCTTTTATTTCTATAGGCTCTTTATAAATCCATTCACGGCCCTTTATTTCATCAACTCCCACCATACTGGGTTTGTAACCCTTAAGGTTACAAAGGTTACCTTAAGGTGGGTGGGATGTATGCAACATTTGATTATGTTAAGAAAAGTTACTTAACACTTGGAACCAAAGCAAAAGGATGACTGCTTGTCCTTTGAACCTTGGACTAAAGCTTTATTTCAAGGTCTTTATCTAACAGGCCCACCAAAGGAATATTTAGTTCTTCAGAGGAATGCACAGTTGCTTGGTTAAAGCTCAGACATGTTAACTTGTAGGTTTTTGTCCAGGAGAGATGCCAAAGATTTCTGTGCAGAGGTTCTGGATTTATTGTCCTATTTTGCTTCTAATTTAGCAAACTTATTTCAGCATCCTTTTCCTTTATGAACCTATAAATCTGTCTTTCAAATTCTCCTTTGTACCTTATTTACCATTCTCCTGCTTCCCTCATTAATGCATAAAACCTGTGACATGTATTCATTCTATATTTTCATTAGGGTCATGTTTTTGAAAGTTATACTTTGTCTCTATGAAGAAAAAGAGATGGAGCTCACAAGCACCCAAGAAAATGAATCTCTTTTCTTTAGTTCATCCAATTTCACTTCTCTGGGGAACATATTTTATAGGAATTAAATCAATGCATTTTGATTCCCCCCCCCTTTAAATCCCATGTCCTATTAGCCTTCTGACAGAGTCATCAAGCTTACTGTCCCAAGAAAGGAAGGACAGACAGGTGCTGCTCATAAGAGAGAGGCCGATTTCAAAGCTGATTTTCTTCACCTAACTTTTTAGTAAGACAATGTACATAAAACCCAGGCTTTTTGGAGAAAGGGATTTCTAAATGACAAAGCTTCCTTTTTAATACATAGGGCCTGTGTGCAGAATAGAAGGGAGACTCCTCCAGGCTGTAAAGAATGAGGGGAAAAGCAATTCTGGATCAGTTACAGGGAAACGGGGGAGTGGTGTTTGGGAGGAAGATCACAAGACACAGTTGTCCTGATCTCTTCCTTCCAGGCTGAAGTACTGGGGAAGGAAGTAGGTTAGCTAGGCTGCTGGGAAAGCAGAAGACAGAAGTGGGGCGGTCTGGATTCTGCTTTTCTTTGGGAGGATTAACATATGCCCTTTGCCACTTTGAGGTCATAAAAGCCACATCCCTCCCTCACACACCTGGATGTCTTCTTGGAGAGGAGTAGAGGGAGGGTGGAAATCTAACTGGCTGAGTTCTTCACAGAGTCATCCAAGTAGAGACTGTTTACCTACAAAGACATTTTATAGGCTTGAATTCAGGTTAACAAATTAGACTTGATCTTGTCCCTCCTCCCAGCTTCCACCGAGAATATGGGAGCTTGTAAGGTAGATCAGGGCAGACTTAGAGAAATAAGAAAGCTACATTTTTAGCCCAGCTGAGTATATCATGAGTAAATTGGAAAGGTTGTGTCAGGGAGGAAAAATTTCTTCTGCTCTTCCAGGTCCTTCTAACTGGACCAAGAATCAAACTGACATGAGAAAGACTGACAGGAATAAATCAAATTTAATTTCATAAGTATGGAATCAACAGACATGCAAATCCCAAAGATAGTCAAACAACATGAGGTTTATATGAGCTCAGGAGCAGGATAGGGGTCTGAGGATACAAAGGGGAGAAAGATCATTAGCAGGAAGGTGAGAGGAGGTGTTTGAAAAACAAAGTTGCCCTATTACGTGGGTAAGTTTCTTGGGTAGAGAGGAATCTCTGTAAATAGCTCTCTTCCTGGAACCAACAAGCAGTTGAGGGGGAGGTAAAGAGCTTTTCTTGAATATGCTGGGTTTTGATTGCTTTTGACTCAAAATAATGTTCATGCCAAAGTGGCCCATCTTGGGGCATACTGCCCTTGGCCCCTACAGTTTCCTCCTCTGAAACTTCCCTTAAGTTTCACATATAAAAGTTAATCAGGTAGATCATTCTGTCTTGTTTAACCAGCCCCTACAATAAGTTAGTTCAGTTAAATTCATTTCAGGAGGCAGTGATGCAATTGTGTTCTCAAAGTTAGGCCTATGGTTCAAGCAATCAGGTTTTAAATAAGAGACATTTCTATGGAAACAAAAGAAAAAGAATGGTTAATGATTGGATCACATTATAAACCACAAACATTTGAACTACAAGCCCAATGTGGGGCTTGAACTCATAACCCTGACATCAAGAGTCGCATGCTCTACTGACAGCCAGCCAGATGCCCCGTGGTGATCTTTTTGAATGGCCCAAAGAGCAACAAACATATAGATTGCCAATATGTGAGCTACTGTGGCTCAGTCGGTTAAGTGTCTGCCTTCTAAGTCTCTAAGTCTGCCCTGATCCACCTTACAAGCCCCCCTGCTCAGGTCATGATCCCCGGGTCCTGGGATGGAGCCCAAAGTCGGGCTCTCTGCTCATCAGGGAGTCTGCTTCTCCCTCTCCCTCTGCTCTTCCCCCCTCCAAGTTCATGTGCTCTCTCTCTCCCTTTCTCTCTCACTTTCAAATAAATAGATAAAATATCTTTAAAAAACGGGAAATATAGAGAAGAGATAGCTATTTAGAATGCTCATAGAACTTTGGTAACATCACAGGTTTTTAGATTGAGGAACATTCTCCCAAAATATGAATCGGCACACAGGTTTGGTTGCTTACCAAAAAGCTATTCCTCTCCCTCTTTTACCTTCTGGCAGGGTCTGCCTCTTATAATAGAGGCTAAAAATACCAGATACTCTCTCTCTCACCCTCCTTGCTGGTAGCGCTGGCCATGTGGCCCAGGTTTGGTCAGCGAACCCTTCAGCAGCACTCTTCTTTAGATGCGTCTAGAAAGATTTTCCATCCGGATGAAAGCAGGATATTCAAGGAGAGCTTTCTTTCCCACTTCTTCCTTCCTGTCATTTCATAGGTTATGGGAGCTGTGGAGACCATATTGCAGCCATTAAGCACTAGACAAAAGCGAACATGCTGAGAATGACAACATATAGGGATGGAAAGAGCCTGGGTCACTGACAACACTGTTTAGCTGGGATGACCATCTACTTCTAAACTTCTTGTTAGGTAAGACAATGAAACTTCCTGTTATATCTGCCACTTTTAGTTGGATATTCTTATTCACAGGTAAAAGCATCTTAACTGATTCAAGAAGATTTTAAATACAGGGGCGCCTGGGTGGCTCAGTCGTTAAGCCTTCGGCCCAGGTCATGATCCCGGGGTCCTGGGATCCAGCCCTGCATCGGGCTCCCTGCTCGGATGGATTCCCTGTATGTTTGCTATTAAATTTGATTTTCTTTTTTTTTCTTTTTTCTTTTTTAAAGATTTTATTTATTTATTTGACAGAGAGAGAGAGAGCACAAGTAGGCAGAGTGGAAGGGAAATGGAGAGGGAGAAACAGGCTCTCCGCTGAGCAGGGAGCCAGATGTGGGGCTCGATCCCAAGACCCCAGGATCATGACCTGAGCCGAAGGTAGCTGCTTAATGGACTGAGCCACCCAGGCGCCCCAAATTTGATTTTCTTCTATTAATCTGTCTCATGTCACTTTGACTCTTAGTCCAGCTAGAGGGTCTTTTTTTTTTTAAAGATTTATTTATTCATTTGAGAGAGAGACCATGAGCAGGAGGGTGGAGGAGAGGGGTAGAGGGAGAGAGAATCTCAAGTAGACTCCACGCTGAGTGTGGAGCCAGACGCTGGGCTTGATCTCACAACCATGAGATCACGACCTGAACCAAAACCAAGAGCAGGATGCTTAATCAACTGCACCACCCACGCACCTCCAAGCTAGAGGGTCTTAAAGGGCAAAGGAAATTCTTTCTCCCCAACATGATATAATCCACAGGATACTTGAATTCGCTGGACACCTCTTACCCTGACACTGCTGCAGCTGAGAGATCCTTGGGACTTCTGACATTCAGCCAGTAGCAGGTAAGATTTCTTACCATGTCAGCCTCCTGGAATCTCTGTCTGTGGAGGCAAATGGAACCATAGTGGTGAGAGACCTTTTTCTCTCTTTCTGAATTTAGCAGGAGAAAATACTTGTGGAACTAGTTCCTTTGGCTAGGTTACACTTTGGCTACATTTGGTAGAGTGCTCTTTGGTTACTGATCCATTTCCTCCCAGAGATGGTCTCTGTTTTCCTTTGTCTGTCTTTGGTGTCCTTTAATCCCCACATGAGGTAAGGCTGTTGCTAAGGAACATGTTGGAAGCCAAAGCTGCAAAATTGGTGGGCACAGGTCGAACACTTAAAAGCTGTTAGAGTGCTCACCACCTCAAGAAGGCTCCCATGTTACGGTAAGTTGGTCACAGAACAGGTTAAATTGACACTAGGTCACCCCTGAAACTCAAGAAAACTTCCGTGCAATGAGATACACTGTAAAACAACACACAATCCCTAACCCTGCTGCACTTCCCTCCTAAGTATTAGTGTGGCTGTGGCCCCAAGAGACCCAAGGCCTAGCCAAGGCTTGTAATGTGCATATAAAAGATGTGCCCTTTCCTCTTGTTCTGTGTGGGTTTTTTTTAAGATTTGAGAGAGAAAGCATGAGTGGGAGAGGGGGAGAGGGAGAGAATCCCAAGCAGACTCCCCGCTGAGTATGGAGCCCAACTTGGGCCTTAACACGGGGCTTGATCCCATGACCCTGAGATCATGACCTGAGCTGAAATCAAGAGTCGGATGCTTAACCAACTGAGCCACCCAGACACCCAGTCATGTTCTATGTTTTAAGAGTACAGCTGGGGCACAGGAGTGCAAGAGCACCTGGCTCCGGGGGTCCCAAACAGAACAGGTTTGGCCACTCACCGCTGACAAAATCCAAAGGCAGAGAAGGTAGTGGTGGTGAAACAAGAAAGGAATTTATTTCAGTGAGGCCAACACCCAGAAGACAGTGGACTAGCGTCTCAGAGACTGTCTCCAAAGTGCTAAAAATACTTCCAGGTTTATATCAGGAAAATGTGGGGCAAAGGCGGGTGGGTACCTGCAGGTGGGCCGTGAAGGTCAAGTCGATGATTGTCCTGAAGTCAAGCACAGGCAGGGTCTTGCTGGCTAAGGGCAGTCCTTATTGCTTGAAGGGGTAGTTTTGGTTCCTATCTGGGGATGCTTTGCCCTCAGGGTCTTTTGCCTGAGTGAAGAGATAAGCCAGAAAGAAAAACTTAATCAATTAGAAAGTTTGAGGTCAAAATGGAGGTAGTTGAAGTCCTCTTTCAAGAGCTTGGCTTTGTGACCAGTGAGAATATTCTCTTTGGTCTCTACCATTCAGAGGGTGCACTTTCTCGAGTGCACTGGGTGACCAGTCAAATAGACTGAGATCCGAGGCTCGCTCTCTCTGTCTGGCTGTGGGAAGTTTGCCATGAGAGGTTCTGGCCCAGAGGAACTCTTGTCATCTCAACCTTCGTTGCTTGTGAGTGCTGGAAAGTCCTATTCCAGGAGCACCTGCCCAGTGTCACAGATGAGCAGGTCTGTAATTGGAGGCATCTCACGATTTTGTGAGGACCAGAGACACAGTTTTCCCTACACCATCCTTACCTTATGTGCAAGGAAGGCCTTTGCTTTCTCAGATGAATTTTGGGAGTAAACTTTTGAATCATGGATCCTGTGTCATCTAACCCCTCTTTGGATGCCTTGCATCTCTGGTTAAACCATTAAGGCTTATTGGTTTATTAATACATCCTACTCAATGGCTGAAGGATGGAGACTTTAAATTGACTATATTAAAAACTTTTTTTTTAAGAGACAGCTCTCAACTGTCTTATTAGTAGATTAGCTAGCCTTAGGGACCACCTTGACAAGATGAAATAATGGAAATTAGACTTACGACTTAAAAATAAATGTCCACATCCAACGTAAATTTCCCTTCTTAAAACCCAGCTTCATCTGCCTGTTGTAACTTCCCTTTCCCTACAAGATTTACAGGAAGCACTGCAGCCTAATCTCTAGGTTCAAAGTATACAGGTTGCTCATGTAAATGTTACAGGATTTTTGTCCCCTTAGTGCCTGAGGTTCTTGGTCACGCTGCTTCGAAGAATGAAGAGGTAGACCAGAAGAAGAGTGGTGGGCAGCAAAGCAAAGTTGTTGAGCAAGAGTATAAAGCTCCTGGAGAGGGAGGAGGGCCCGAGAGGGTTGCCCTCGGAGTTTCTAAGTTTAGGGGTTTTTATGAGCTCTTTTGCAGAACTTTCTTAAGCAATCAGGGCTTTGGTCACATATCTGTCTATCTATTAGGTTAATGTCTCTGTGCTGATGGTCTTTTTTTGCTCACATCTGGAGGCTTATGTCTTAATTGCCCCTTGCCCGTGATAGTGACAAATGCTTTGTGGTTAATTGCCTTATTTTAGGACGTTTTGCAGAAGTCATTTCTGCAAAGGCTGCAAAGCAAAATACTAATGTGGTCCTGTGTAAGCTGTAAAACAGGATGTTAGTGTTTTATTTTAGCTGTCCTGACTCCATATTTTCTTGTTGGGGACCCTGGCCCTGACTACCTAACTGTTCAACTAACTCCTAACAGTATTGCTAAAATTAACTTGTAAAAGAGATCTATGTAGTCAGTTTGAAGGCAATTGCTTGTAAGATTGGGCATATAAAATTCAGAAAGACAAAAACTAACCCAAATGTTTTTCAAGTTCACATGATCTGGGAAAGTATTCAATATGAAAGCTAATTTAAAGTTGTCGGTTAAATTAAAATACACATTTTTAGAGTTAACTTGTAGTCTGCCTGTGTTCACTGCAAGTCAAATAAGTCCGTTATCTCTGTTGCAAAATTTGTCTAGAAAACCAGAGTAATGGTTGACTTTGTCTGATGCCTCATAAAGTTTTGTGGGTAATCTAAATGTAATTGTTAAGAACAAGTAGTTTAAATAGATGTAAATAAGGTAAAAGGTTTATAATTAAACTTTTAAGTAGTTTCAAAATCTTTGGTAACCTGAAACTTTAAAAATTTTGCTAAGTTAAATAATGAGTTAAGTTAAATTTATTGAATACCTAAATCATCTCCAAATAAGACAAAATAATAAACCATCAAGTACTAAACATAAGTTTATCTGTTTTTATCTTATCACAGAGAAACTAAAGATAAATATGGGTCTATTAGTAAACCTGGTTTATGTTTTATTGAAAAATTATACTATGAAAAAGCACGTTTCTAGAAATTATGAAATGTATTCCAAAAATTTGCTAATGTAAAGAATAATGGTGTAACAGATGGCTCACAACTGCTTACTAGTTTTCACTAGAAATTAAGTTTTTAAAAAGTTATGAATTCTAATAAATGTAAATGAGAATACTGAAAATAAGGGGAACAACTCTGTATGCAAGGAAAATAAGACGTGTTTTTGGTAAGAAGTAGTATAAGGAATAGAAATACATTTTTATTGAGTTGAGGAAAATAAAATGATTTTGTCCTAAAATGACGCTGGTTATTTAAAGAGGGAAAACTGAGGGCAAAATGTGAATGTAAAAAAAGTTGTAGAGGGTTTATACAAAAGGAACCTTTTGGGGGCACCTGGGTGGCTCAGTTGGTTAAGCGACTGCCTTCAGCTCAGGTCATGATCCCAGGGTCCTGGGATCAAGTCCCGCATCGGGCTCCCTGCTCTGC